ATTCTTTGTATTTACACTTATTCTCGTTAATGAACCTCTCTTCTTTTACGAATTTACGTCCTATTAGCAAAGGATTTGGCTCGTAGTTCATGACGTATCTATGAATGTTGGCAAAACCCATTCTTACCTTATAGCCAGATGGAGAAAATCTGTCTCTCTGGGATTGTCCGGACGCATGGCCGACCGATATCTCGACTTATTTCTGCAACCGTTTATCAATCAAAAGGATTACACATGCAAAGTTATGGTAAGTGAGGACAGAGGAACATTTGACAGAGGAACTGAGTTCGGTTAGGGTGTTCTGTGCTCAAAACACGCACTTAAATAAATGCACTGATAATATTCAGCTTCTGTGCTGCCTGCTTAATAAGACGAAACACGTGCGTGCATTCTATACTAATGTTTTTATTCATTGTTTGGTTTCTTCAAAGACTTAACGGACACGTGAATAATTCAGGTGAGAAGTGATACATCGATACTGTTTTTTGTAGGGGAGAAGGGGCGTGTAAGATAGCTATTACCGTCACTAAACTATTAATAACATCAGATTGCCAAAGAAAATCATACGACGTCATATTGGACGCTGTATTTTTTCTACATGAACATTATAGCGGTAAAAGGGAGAATATTTTAGATTCAAGCTATCTGATAGAGAGATGTTTCATTCTTATTGTAGTTTTTTCACCGATACAAATACAAATTAGTTACAATGTGCATATTAGAGGTGTGGCGTGTTGTCAGTTGCGTAGTGAATCTAGAAAATGTGAATAATAGCAGATATAATTTATATATCTAGGCTCAAAGATTCACATATGTTTTCATTCTAACATGACACTGAGTATTAACTCTCCCTTGTCAATTTCTCTGCAGTCTGCTTGTACAAACAAAACGCGTTGAAGCTAACCATATCGTCCTTGCATATGTTGTGATGCTATTGTACGTAAAAGTTGAAGCTAACCATAACGTCCTTACATATGTTGTGATGCTATTGTACGTAAAGGCTGAACTGTAATTGCAATTGCATCATGTGGTGACCCGTACGAGTCGGCCTTCATTGCGTAAACATGGATTTTATTTAACATTTTCATGTAATTAGAGTTGTGCATTGAAACCAGATACCGCGCTTAAAAACGGGAGTGTTTGTTCAGAGGGCTTCGCGAAAATGTTTATTACCATAAGAGTCCCGCAGAAGAAAAATATTACCATGAAGATCCTTTGTGCATGTTACAGTCAGTCTTTTTCAATGAGGGAAAGCCACAGAAAGGAAAGCGGTCGTTGTCCGTGAATATTGATCAAATAATAAGATGAAGCCGAACAAGCGACATTCATTAAATTAATGATACTTTCCCAAGTTTGGGTGGGGTTACCGATGTCACGAGAAAGAAAGGCTCTGGGGTATTCACTTCATTAGAAGCGCACAATTCTGCACAATAATTCACAGTAAAACATAACATCAGATGGAAGCAGGGGGGGGTGACAGGTTCTACAATTAATACGCAGCAATAATATAGCTAAAAATTACCATCTCTAAAGGTTCCCACGCAATGTCCACTCGTACTTCTGATAAAGGTGTTCAAACATACTAAGAACCTCCATGGATGAGAGACGTTCTTGAGAAGCAAAATGTACGACCAGGTAACCCGATTTCATTGGGGTATGTTTTGAAATTATTCCCCCATCTACGTCTCTGTCTTCCGACTCGTCACGCTTATTTATTTATTTAGTGTTCTGTCTGACGACAGGTCCATATGAACAGGATCCTTCCATCCTTTTCTCGGACTGGGACCTGTTCATATACGTTCTTGGCAGATGATCCAGAAGTGGTTTGCCATTGCCTTCTTCTGTGTGTGAATGGAGTAATTGTTGGGATGCCACGGAGAAACCGGGGAAGCCCCCGGAGGAAAACTCCGTGTTGCCTAGACCCCAGGATTACAAGGCCAGCGTTCTAACCGCTAGACCACCGTGGCACGCTATCAAACCAAAATTTTATTCGCCTTTCTCAACTCCTAAATACATTACCCATCTAACCAGCCTTAATTTTACAATCCTTTGATGAAAAGTACATGCTATGGAGCTCATTATTATGCAATTTTCTTCAACCTCCTATCTTTTATCCTTCTTAGAGCCTCGTAACATCTAGTTGCAAGAGTAAAATGTTTCCATATAGCAAATTTTGCAAACGCACTTGGACTTCTGACGGAGAAATACACAATCTGATTGACCACGTCTTGATACAATACGGTAAAGAAGTACAGTGTCCTTATGTCCGATTGCTTTGAGGGACTTACTGTGATACTGCTCACTGTTTGGTGGTTATAAAACTTAGAAACATGCTGTCGATAAGTAAACTGGCAACACGAAGCTTTAACACGCAAATATTTGACTCTGAAAGCTAAAAATTGCAAAGTTTGGCAAGAATATCGGGTCGAATTCACTGAAGGCTGCAACGTTGGGAAACGTGGATGACAATGTGAACATAAACAGGGCGTGGGGAAACATTCGACAGAAAAAAAAGAGCTCAGAACATTACGAGCTGAAAGGAAAAACGCATGGTTTTGTGGAAAACAATTGTTATTGGGCAGAAGGAAGCAAGATTCACTGCGCTAAATTCAGAATCCAACTGTGATAAATGTATGGATAGTGTACGTCGTGAAGCTAGTAGAACTTTCAGAACCAGAGAGAGGAAATGTGTGGAAATATAATATTAGTGAGCTCCGAACTGACGGCAAGAAAAATATTTTAGATTTATGTGGAGGTAAATAAATTAATAATATCATAATTCTTACAGATAAAGGGGAATTCTATGTAAGTACTGTTTTCAAGTAGTGTGTGAGCTCTAACTTTAAACTGATACATCTGATATCAAACTGAGATTATGTTAGGTTATATTTTAGAAATTACCGAATGTTAAGTAATAGTTAAAAAACAATTTTTCACTCATGACATAAAATTATACATGAAACCGCTATCAATGCATGTGGCTATTTGTCGACTAAATATTATCACTTTTCCTTAAATAATTCGTAAAATATTTACAGAAAATAGTGTTTATATACCGCTTCTACTCTGAGCGGACAGAATGACAGGTTATAGTTCAAAAAGGGCGGGGCTGACGTAGTTATATATGTCAAACGAGTGACAAAATATAGCGTATTCAATGGCACGCAATGGCGATAAATAAATATACTAATAGGTGGGTTGGGTTTAGACTGAAAATTACACATCAGTATTGATTTGTGGATCCAAAACACAGACGAATAAAATTGATAACTTTTGATTTCTGAGTGAAAAGCTTTCAGACCTGGCCCTCGATCGTTAGACCCCATCTACCATGTTTTCTCGATAAAAATAAACTCACTTTCTTGCCATCTTCAATCCTTTTCCTTACTGAATTGTCGTAAGGAATAATATCAACTGGAACGACGAGAGACATTTTGATATTGTTTTATCCTTCACGCACTGCAGTTTATGTTTGATTGAAGTCTAATGGCAAGGTTCAAACACACACGTGGGGCAGTGTAATACGGACAGATTGCACGTTTCAATTCTTGTTGTATACATCTCTTTCAGAGTTATGTCTTCGGCATGAGATATGATTTTCTACGCCACTGAATCATTTCATCCTATAAAATGGCCGGTGTAATCTTCCTTCTCTAAATAAAAGGAATATTATTCTCAAAAGATTTGCAAACTGACCGATGCTCCCAAAAGAGCCTTATTTAAAGATACTTTTAGAGAATCAATAAAATCTTCTCGGGCAATCAGCTGCATCAACTGATTATCGTAGTAAACCAACGTTTCGGGAACCAACTCGACTTTCGAGGTATCCAATCACATCAGAACCCTGAAGATGGTGCCAGAGTTTGTTCCCGAAACGTCGGTTTACTGAGGTAACCAGTTAACGCGGTTGATTGCCCGAGAAGATTTTATTGATTGTACTCGCCGCGAAAGTCTCAAATCCTATACTTCGAGAGATGAACTACAAAGTCTGAAACTTCATCCTCCAGAACAACACACACACATGAGCATGTTATCACGAACTTCAGCAGATAACATACAAGACATTTAACGTAACCCCTGTCCTTGTTGCTTCACCACAAGGGTTCAGAGTTCAAACATGGTTTATTATATGAACTTCCAACCCTCCTTGGTGTTTATCTCGCTACGACCAGGCTGTGTTGGCAATGGAGGGGAGAAGTTGGCGCCGTTATATATTAGCTGTGTAAAAGGGGATGAGACAGTGCTAGAAGAGGGTGGTTTACAACCCTCATCATTCCACCCCACAAATGGGGAGGAAAGGAAGTCTAGTAACAGTGATTATTGTTCTTAATGCAAAAAGCTTCCAGAAGGGGAAACACTTCACTAATGTGCCCCTTTTGTTTTCGCATTTATGCAGTCCAGCACTGCTAAAAGTGTAAATGCATCGGGCCATTAGATGGGGCATGGATTCTTACGTCACGTAAGTGCTTATTACATTCGCCCTGAAAAAGAAATGCAAACAGCGATCTTTATTTAAAATCATGGTTTAGAGAAAACTTATTGCAGACTACTTGGTTATTCTTAACATGTCGAATATAGCCTACTCGGATATGATGCTTACTATCTCCACAATCAATCTCCCTGATAATGGATGCGGTAAGCGTCTTTGAGATGTCGGCCAAATTCTACCAGACTACACGAAGTAATATCTTTCCTTGAAGGATAATCGCCAGTGTGAGAATCTGAAAAATAACTGTTAGCACGTCTCCTGTCGGTTATGCAGCAAGCAATTCACACACAAAATAATATTTTACTGTTTCAATTAAATCTCAATCCGTAACGTCACCAACTGCGAAATATATTATATCTGTAATTACTGCATATATCCATTTTCTGTCCTTGTTGTTTTAAGGAAAGAAATTTAATAATAGACTGCGTAATTAAGTATCTTACTTAACTACCTTCTTTAATATATTTTTTATATACATGAATTCAAGACTGTTCAATGAAAATCAATTGTGGTAAATATGAACATTAAAACTACGTGCGAAGACACGATAGTTTTATAGTTTGACATTTTATTAATATAATACAATTACAATACATCTTAAAAAGTATTTCTAAGAACAGGCTCTAATAGTTGTTGTGTTATCGATAATATACAATGTAATCTGTTAGTAAAACTACTCAGATTCTAAACGTAAACAGCCTTGAATTTAAACTATTTCAAGTAATATCAAATGGTCTAAACAGACTATTCCTAAATACAAATACATATTGTGGTTAAATCCAAACTATTTGGACCTAAGATGGGTGTCTTCTGGGACTCATCGCCATGAAAACCTCAAGTCCCATTTAGTTACTAAAACATACAGTCACAATTATACCTGTGTGCTATCAGTAATACTTCACTAGATACATTTTGTACACTTACGAAGCGAAAGTGAATCTTTGAGATTCAATCACCATCAGCATTCAATTTCTTCTGCATTGTTTAACACTGTATATTTGTTTTCTATTATTTAAGCTTAGGTTTCCACAAAATGACTACAAATTGACCTCAAGTATATTCATATATATCTATAATGTACAGTTAAATTCACACGTTATAATTCATAGACACCGCTCAATAAGCAACTCTTATTTCAGTCTTCTTGCTGTCAATTTAGCAGTAACTGTAGCCTGTTTAAATAATTACTTCCACTATACATATGGCACTGTAAGAACAATGTTGGTGCACACTCTTCAAATGTTTCTGCATATACAAAACTACTTAATTGGACAAATTCTTTCCGCTTATACAGTAGGCCTAGTTATAAGTAATTATTTCTACAAATGAAAAAAAATACGTTAATTCTCAAGGGCCTACCGTAACCCAATAATAATTTAAGTTATCACATATAGGACCTACATACATTTGGACATACTGCATGTTAAACGATATTATTTCCCAACTAATAGATCCCAGGTTTATAATTTATTCATTTACGGAAATTAAGTGCCTGAAACATATGTGACAAGATATTCATTAAACTTATTTCCACGGATGTTTTCCTGTCACATGTTTAAGAAACATCGACACACAGGGAAGAACATCCCGATCTTTATAATTCATTCGACATTAAATGCATAATATTTCCAACTTGTTTAAAGTTTTGCAAAGATGTAATATTTTTAATTAATTATGTCAGTGTAGATTAATATAGGCTCAAGTCTCAAAATAATTTGCGTTATTATTTGTCTTAAAGTCTCACACTATGAAATTTTCATGTGTTTCCTAAATTTATGCATGCAATCTTATAATAGTTACAAAAGTTAATTGAATCTGGCATGTCCTATGTCAAAGTAATATTATTTCTGATCTGTTTATATTATATGCTGGCAACCAGAAAGTCAATGTGTTGTGTGAACATAAACTGTGTATGAAATGCGTTCTAGCATCTCAAACTTTCCTGTCCATACAAGATACTCATATTCAGTGTCATCCCCCAAGGCGTCCAATTTAGTTTTCGTACATCAGTGAGTGACGTTGTAATAAGCTTCATGACACGTCAGATATTACTTCGTCATTGTTCCTTCGAAGCAAGAACAAACTACTATGACTTCTTAATCCGCAAAGAAAGTTTTCACGAACCTTTGAGACATGTTTCAATGCAGAATGTTCAGCAAAAGTAGGTTCTAATATTCCAAAGCTCTGCTATGTTTTGAATCACCAATAACGCGTTATAACAACACATTTCTGACACTAAAGCAATATGACTTTTTTTTTAAATTTTAAATTTATAATTTTTGCACAGGTTTTATCGTAACCTACTTGTAGAGCGTACCTTTAGCTTTGGTATATTTCTTTACCAAAAGTCTTAAGTACATTACCATGGGCTAATGAATTTAATCCACTGACTTAAAAGGATGGACACTTATACGTTTACTCTTGGGTAGACCTAATTTATCTAAAATTTAAAATTCAGAAGAAGTGAAATTTGAGAGCACAAGAATCTCGACAAATTTTGTACACTTAATAAATTCCTTAACTTATTGTCGTCTGCCCCAGACATAATAAATCTGTGGAGTGACATGTGAGCCTAACGATTCATAAGGCGTTTTGGAAATTTTATCAATTGCACAATACGTTACACATTTTTAAGATACGTATAATATCATGGCACATAACTACGCAAATTCAAATCAAACTTTTAAGAGAAACAAAATATTTTCGTTCCTTCTTTCCTTCTATCGTGTCATTCTAAGGACTGGACGTTATCGATTCCTAACACTCACAAAATTTATTCGAAATTAATGCAGTTTTCTATGAAAATCATGCATAATATTTTCATCTCCACCACTCGGAAGCTTTTTAACAAGTGTCGTGTTACTAAATACATCTGATTATATCAAAATGTATGAATCCGAAATATGCATTCAGTCTTGCCGTGCATTATTGGCCAACAAGAGTGCGTTTGCTTCTTCTTCTTCCTCGTCTACAGGCACAGTGCTGTGGTTGTACAGCCCCTGGGCCATGAGCTGCAGCGCCAGCGGATTCTTCTGTCCGCTCGCCTTCTTGATCTTGGCGCGTTTGTTCTGGAACCAGATCTTGATCTGGGCCTCGTTCAGGCCCAGTTCTCGCGCCAGTTCTGTTCGGCGTCTCTCAGTCAGGTAACGATTCTCGGTGAACTCGTGTTTCAGGCGTGCCAACTGCTCGCCGCTAAACGCTGTTCGTGGTCTCTTCTCTTCCGGCTTCTTCTCCTTTCTCTTTAGTCGACGAGATCTCGGACCTGTAAAGAAAACGATAAAATTGCACAGCGTGAATGAATGACTATCATAAGTATTATAGGCCTGCACTACATTTACACATAAAACTATTTTAAATGCCGTAGCACATAGCCTAAATTTGGGTAGTTCAATCGGTATAGTGGCGGTTATATGCTAGACAACAGGAGTTCGACTCTCGACAGCAATAGATTGATATCTTAGCTACCGCATCACCTAGAGTCGTACCCAATTTGTACCGGGAGACGCTGGCCTCTATATGGTAGAGAGGTTTAGAAAGTGTGGAGCTATACGTCCACACCGACATACGTCGTCATGGCGTGGTGTTTAATAAATACAAGAGAATACTTTAACTTTACCCTAGAGTATCTTGTCGTCACACCTCTTAGATTAAGATGCAGAGCGCTATAAGGTAACGTCTAATTTGATACAGAGCGTGAAACTTAGCAACATTTAGAATAAATTTTCGGGAATAATATGTGGACATGGCAGCAAATATTGGGGGGCTGGAAGAAACTACACAATGAAGAGCTTTGTAGTCTGCATTCTCCTCAAAATATTTGGACCGATTAGAGTCTCTTGTACTAGATGTGTAGACGTACATCACGAATTGCACAAACGAGAAACTTTTAAGGGAAATCCGAAGTGAAGAGACAGCTTGGGAGACTAAAGTATTTCAAAAAAAGGGGGAATATTAAAATTAAACTCAAAGGAAATGGGTTTCCGAATGTGGACTAAGATTATCTGGTTCTAAATGTGGCCCAATAGCTTACTTGTGAATAAGTCAGTGAAAATTTTAATACCATAAAAATCGCGAAATATTTGACTAGATAAGCAGCTATTAAATTTTCAAGATCGATTCTGCTGCATCGACTTAGTTAAATTTGTAGAAATGCATTACATGCCAAACAACCGAAAACAACTTCATTGGGAAAGCAAATTTACTCAGATTCCGACGGTAAACTCTTGAACAGTAAGATCTATCTTCGGTAAATAACATGAGCAACCAGTTCCGATATATAAAATTTCAGATTCTTACAAGGTAACAATTTGGGTTGTAGCCTTCCGGGTTGTGACACGGTACAGTCTTGTAGGTGGTTGCCATCGTTTCGCTGACGGAGTTGGCACGTGCCTCCGAAATTCCGATGGCCACCTACAACACTAGACTGCGTCAAATCCCAGAAACCCCACAAAGAAACATCGCACAAACAAAATTCTGAGATACGGAACAAATCAATAGTAAAAAGTATTTGTTTGTTTAATAATGTGCCTTCACTACTCTTTTGTAATAAACGTTTGTGTTTCCTTAAGCAATTGTGAAAATTTCTCCTAAACGTGCGTCAGTTATGCGAGTTTAATAACCGACAAAATTGACAACAAACTGAGAAAAACACAATTTCTGACGTCGAGCTCGTAATATTCATAATATGAAGGTTGTTCAAATGAAATCCGTTCGGGAATTGTTTTTGGCGAAGTGATAAAGGTGTTGAAAATACTCCCCATGAGCTTTGAGGCAGGCATCCCATTGAAACACCAGCTCATGGATCCCTTAGCAAAGAACTCCTTGGGCTGCCTTGACTTCTTTGTCCAGTCAGGATCTATGACCGTTTAGCACTTTCTTGAAGGGGCAATATACACACGGTGAAAGACCCGGAATCATCGAGTCCTTGGCATGAGGACAAGCGTTGTCGTGCAACACGATGACACCCTCGTGGTGCAGTACGATGGTCTCGGAGAATTCCATTATAACGCTGTGGATTGATGGTGATATCAAAGAGAGCAATTCTGTTTGGAAGGAATTCTGCACCTGAAACGCCTGCGTTGAACAGTGTCGCACTGTTCCCGTCTGTTCTAATGCACCTGTTCTTTTTCACAGCTCGTGGTGGGCCATATTGGATAACAGCGCCGCGAACGGGTTTCATTTGAACGATCCTCATGTACGACGAGAGAAAAGGACGTGTCGTAAACCTAAAAATATATTTTGTAATTATAAAATACTGCTATTTAGTTCTGTTCCCATCAGAAGTCTTAATTTATCTGTGATTTTCTTCCAAATGTTATTTGAGTTTAGAGGCACTAAATATGGAAATTGAATATCAGTAACCCTATTTTAGATAACAATGCCCTGTAATACCTAATTGAGCTGATATGCAACTTTGAGTTCTAAATAAATATTAACATTTAATGTTAACGCTCTATTATATTCAAGATTGTTATGTTAGATGTTAGATGGAATAAGTATGAAAAGGGAAACGAAAAAGAAAGATTATGGTCTACCTACTAATAAAAATTATCTTATGGGCTAAAGGAAAGGAGTAGCGATTGTATCTGATCATTAGGACAATTTGCTCATAATCATAAAATAAGTCTATTTAAATATTTAGCGAACTGAAACCTGCATTACACAAGTGTTAATTTTAAAATGTTATGACATTTTTAAAACAGAAAAACTGAAGAATATCAATCGGATGTTATTTATAATATGGCTTGTAGACTTAATTTCATTACCTGTAAATGTTCTAAATCACAGCCTCTAAAAAGTTGCTTTATATTTCTGTTAATGACAATCTCAAATTTTGTGAACTCAGAGCGTTGTTAAGTATCCATCATTGCAGTATACGTACAGACCTACTGTATTATATATGTTATTTGTACAGCGCCCACCGTCTGCAATCAACTTGTGAGCTGTGTAGCACTCTTGTCCGCAGATGCATGTTTATTGTAGGCGTGAACCCTTATATATCTCCCAGGGGGTTGATGTTGCCAGTATCAGTTCATGTTCACATTGTATGTTGGGAAAGAGGGCGTGCTTGTTCTGTTAATATGGCGTTAACGAGCGAGGCCGCAAGGGAGCAATTCCATATATCTATTGGATGTGGCAGTGTTTAACTCTGATTAACAGGCTTTATACATCGCCAGAGAATTGATGGATACTGGAACGTTTGATTGCCAATAAATTATACAACATTCAAAGGTGACCTAAATTTTGTGTAACATTACGTACTGTGCACTATTTCGGATCTGGTGTGTAATTTTAGGATGAAGAACTTATGCGGTCATCAGTTTTGTTCACGAAAATGTCAAATATAGTTTATTGCTACGTAATTTAACGATAATGTATAATGTATTGAGAATAATAACGGCAGTTAGTAAACAGTGTTGTAAAATGATTAAAACTCACGGGAAACAAAAAAATATAAATAACACGTTGATATATCTGATATCAAGTCACACATCAATAATAACCTTATATAGCCATGTGAAATTACATGAATTACATGTTTTAACATTAAGTAACAGGGCATTTTGTATATATGAATCCTGCATGACTGTAGGTGTTAACAGGTATTATTTCATTTAACATCATTAACCAATTTGTATCTTAAGTGCGTCATGTTTGTGTTGAATCAAATACATATATTTATTTTACAGTCTATACACAAACTTATTTAAAATAATGTTGTTAAAATATTATAACATTTACAGTATAAAGTATATTATGTTATAACATAATATACTTTATACTGTAAATGTTATAATATTTTAACAACATTATTTTAAATAAGTTTGTGTATAGACTGTAAAATAAATATATGTATCATTAACCAGTTGATCTTTGTAGTATATACGCGTAGTGTCCTCTTTGAGATACGCACTGAATTCTTAAATATTATTTAAACGATCTTCAGGTTCAAAGGGTTAAATTGAAACTTAATGAAACAGCGAATAAAAATATGGAATGAACTCATCTGGACCAAAGATGGGCTCTTATGACCATGGCAATGAATCTTAATTTTATAAAAGGCAGGGAATTTTTTGAACAACTCTGGTATTATTAGCTCTTCAAGAACTCTGCTCCATGATATTAGGCTTCTATGAGACGGTTTATAGCACGAAAAATAGGTCACGTTTCATCCAGGGCAATCACTGCTCCTAAGAAATACAACATGATAAGTTAAGGGACGAATGGGCAAAGCATTAGAACCCTTCACCTCGGCTCGCTCCTTCACGTTCCAGCCAACTCTACCACCGGAAGTATGGCCGCTGTATTTACAAGAAATGGAAGTTAGCGGACGTCAGAGACATTCAGGACTTTGTGAACAAAAAGAAATTCTGTTGGCGGAAAATATGGGCATAACATAAAATACGTGCAATGTTTACTGATAGCTATGTCGTCTGTCTCAATATTTATTACAATTTGTCAAATACGTTTATATTAAGATTTGAATGACGCCACAAACTTTCTGTGCCCCCAAGGGGCGCCTTTTATTCTGATCACACAAACAGTTTAAATTAAATTCCAAACTTTCCTGCCAGATGTTTATCATGTTCTCTTTAGCACAATTCAGTCTCCCTGCCTCTTGGGAACAATTCATAATCCGCCCTTGACATGCGGGTCTATGAAGTGCTGTACTACCTACTCTTATGATAACAAAGATCAAATTCACTGGGGATTAATATAACTTCTTTAAACGAAATAACGACAATAAATAATTATCCTCGTTGTAGAAGAGAATTCGTTCTATTGCATCCAGCATTAATGACACGTACAAGTGACTGAGTACGTTTTGATGATCAGGGTAGCCTAGTCAAAATTCGCAAGGGACAATATTGTGCGTAGTAAACTACTTCAACATACATTACAGTTTTTTCCAAATACATTAATCTTGTTAGTCTAATAAATTACAGATTTCAGGAAAGGCAGTAAATACAAGGCCTAAATAAAACTGGACAGATTACAAAAACATGCAAGCAGCTGTAACAGTATTTGTAAATTAAAGTTAAGAATACTGCGTTAGATCGACAATGTCTCCTATGTACAGAACTTCATTCAATAATAAAATAGTAATTACAGTCACTGTTATGTCCCAGCTTGGGGAATGGGTGGTTATTTTTACATTGATATTTAAAAGTAAAAGTAAAGTTTGTCCCACTATACGCCATGTAGGCGTTTGGGGTGAGAGGAGGTATAGCTCCTCTCTTCCTTGACCTCAGCACTAGATGGGGGTGAGTGGTCAGCATCACGCCCCGGCCGTGCTTTATCCCCGGGAAAGGACCCCGGTACCCATTGTAGAGGAGGCTGGGTGGGCCCCGGAGTCGGTCTGGACGCAGAGGCTAGAGGAAAAATCCTCTGCCCCCCATCGGGGATCGAACCCCGGTCGTCCAGCCCGTAGCTTGTCACTATACTGACTGAGCTATCCCGGCTCACACATTGATATTTAAGAGGCGGTAATACATAATGAGATATCGAAAACAGATAACAATCTTAATAGGAACGAAAATCCCAAAAATTGTTAGGCCTACATAAGGCATATTAATAAACACAAAGGTAAAGTTCTAATTTAAGTACCGAACCACAGATTGACGGAAATTATTATGACTTATATTGTCCAAGTCTGAAGAATCTGACGATGGTATATTAAAATACTCTTTGCATTTCTCTCATCGTCCAAATTATAAAATTACAGCATCTCGAAAGCAGGATTCTGTTTTCTTCATCAGGCAGGAAAGGAGAACGAAAGAGACAGGAAGCCTAACCTTTCGCCCACCTGTTAGAATAGCCTCAGAGTAGCCTTAGCAACTTAGTTCTAATCTCTGCTTTTATGTCAGACGCTGCATTCGCGAGATCTCCCTTAGTATAGTTTCTGGTTACAGGCCGGGTAACCGGAATCAGATTAATTGTCACCAAGAACGGACTAACGCGCCTCCTGTTAAACGGATAATAGGGGTTATTGCCCCGAGGGTCAAACGACAGAAGCGTAAAGATGGTCACTCACCTCCACCTATTTCTGAATTTTAATAGGCTGTGTGTGAAGCACACATAATGCCCATAAATAAGATCCATATTGGCTAATTCTTTTCATTATCCACTGTAACACTTTAGATAAATATGCCTTTAAGCTTACCTTCCTTAAACCGCTACAGTGTCTAAGTAGGCTACGTGATTCGCTTAGCTCACTTCATCTGTGGGGTGTGCTCCAGTAAAACTAATGGATAAGAAGCTGGAACGACTTTACAGTTGAGTCGTACGTGATAGTGAACAAAACAGTTCTTAATTGTCTTATTGGGCATCAAATTCCTTCCGTTCATTATGAAGTTCATTTCATTAATAATTTAATGTTTAATTTGTTCAAAATGAGACAGTGGCCAACGCTTGATGATTGTAAAATAAAGTACAATTTTAAACAGAAAAGTTTAGTGCTACGACATATCTCGTATATTGAGAGGCTGATCTCGGATTGCCAGTTCGTCGTTGACCTACGCGAAACGCGACAACTTTGCTGAAGAACTGCGTATGAATGAGGTCAGAAAGTAGACCGTATTTTGCAAAAATGGGACAGTTTGCCTAAGTTCAAACTCTGGAAATTTATTAGATTCCCAGCAGCAGGAAACTCTTAAGTTTTGTATTGTGTAACAAGTTCACTCATGACCCTCCTTACTTTGCTCTGTCCCAGGTGGCGACAACTGTCCCACTGTGACTGGAAAGGCTTCGTTCTTTCGGGGGGACCCACAAATCGTTTCAACGCAGAGACCTCACACCGCGAGGGTCCTGTTTCATAACCACAGCCACAGCCGCGCTCTCCGCTATAGATGGACGTCCATTGTACATCTTGTGTGAAACGGCAACTTAAATAGAAGCTAAGTTCACACAGGAATCGAGAGGTAGGTATGTAAATCAGTGCTAACCTCGGTTAAAACTTTGATTTCGATGATGACAGTAGAGTAAGCGTTGGTAACTCTTGGATTATATAACTAACTAGCTAAATTGATGACTTTGCAAGTAAATCTACAGAACAGATCCAATCTTCATAAGCTAATAGTCGCTGAGCTAGTAGAGGAATTTCTTGCCTTTCGTGGAAACAGAATGTTCATTGCCGTCTTCAAAGAAAGACAACACTCCCAAGTGGTGTCTTCCCTGCAGGCGTTCTAAGTCGTAATTTTGTTTTTAAATTCTTGTTGCACCCATACATGCTACATGTCCCGTCCATCCGATCCTCCTTGATTTTATTATTCTGGTCATGACTAAAAATTACGTCAAACAAGGCTTAAGTGATTTAATATTAAATAACAGACTCTTGGAATATAAAGTTACTAATTTTCTGACAAACGTATCAACCCTGTTTCCTAAAACCCGACCTGATGATAGAGGCTATACGTTTGTAACCATCTACACTACTACATAGTATCAGAACCCAGGGGTCCACAACTGGCAAATAACAGACATGTTTTCACCTTTAATACTTTATAATTTCGTTCACACTTTTTAATAAACTTTCTAAATATATAGGGTTTAATCTCCGAACCACGCTCTCTAAAGCCCTTGAAATCTTCGGCCTAAAACGTGGTTCAGAAGATTAGCTTTGTGAAAAAAAGATTTTTCAGTATTTTAGATTTGAAAAGAAAGAAACAACTCCTTGCATCAGACTCCCTCTTCTCGAGCTATCATTCGTTAAATTAGTCACGGAATTTTCCGGAAAATCATTACAGGACACCAGTGGATCATAATCTGATTCGTATTAAACCTGTCGACATTGTCACAGCCTATATCTTTAAGATCTATTTTAATATTATTATCTGATCTATGCCGACGTCTGTCAAGATTTTAAGATTTGAGGTTTTCACAGCGGTAAATATGAAGATTTCTGTCTTCTGGGTTCTTGCGCTGTGTAATCTGTTCATCGCCCTGATGACGGAGGCAGCATGACCTCCGAAACGTTGGTTAACATCGACCAGACTACACAGCGCAACAACCCAGAAGACAGAAATCTTCATACTCTGATGACGGAGGCAGCATGACCTCTGAAACGTTGGTAAACATCTACCAGACTACACAGCGCAACAACCCAGAAGACAGAAATCTTCATACTCTGATGACGGAGGCAGTATGACCTCTGAAACGTTGGTAAACATCTACAAGACTACACAGCGCAACAACCCAGTAGACAGAAATCTTCAAGTATTCTCTTCCTTTCCAACTAAATTCCTGTATTAATCAAGAGCAAATGTGGATATTCTGTTTACCTCGAAACGCTACACACATTAACATCGCTTAGAAACAGTCTGCGGCTGTAACACAGAGACGCCATCAAGCTGAATCGACTTCCACCCAGACCTTTCTGTTCCTTATTGCTTTTGTCGAAATTCGCTGCAACAGGATCCTGGCTTTAAGTCTACCGTCACCACGTCACCACGTCACTCTTCGACATCACTGTCATGAACACTCTGCTATCTTGGCAGTTGATCAATCTAGGATCAACCAATCAATAAATAAAATACAACATTATCTGTCTCTGTCCGACGCTCTCGTAATAGGTTTATTTAATCTACTACAGTGTCCGGTATGCTATTAGGATATTGGAGTCAGAACCTCGTGTACACGATTCTTTTAAATACATGCAGTGATGCATTGTGGGCGAGGGTACGGTACATACAACATAGATGCAGCTGTCGGTATATTTCTATCGTTGAATGAATTGAATAAAGGAAGATACAATGAGTTAGCTCATCGCATTGAAATCTCAATGCTCCATTGTCACCCAGTAACCATAAGGACACCAGGGGATCATAATTTATCATCAACAATCACTTCACACGTACTATAGGCTATGCTGTAGACTTGGTAAGTCCGACTTTAGTACTAGGGACGGAAGATAGTTATGGATTCGTATTCAAATGGAAAAGTTAGCTATTACTTTAACCTTCTGACAATGTAAGATCGCTGGAGTCCATGATGGGGGTCTCACATTTTATTATAATCCGCAACACTGGTTTCGTCTGTGTTCCGTCGCGTACCTGGTCTCCGAAAATCATTGATACGTCAGTCGGCAGTGAGATGTTACACATTTTACTGCAAAGTGGATTGGGATTTTTAAAGGCAATCTTGACCATAAGCGCAATATTATGCAAGCAAGGACACACGTAATGGTAGGAAACGGGATGAATAATTCATTACAGACAAAATAACCCATTTATATCTGCTTCAGAGATGAAAAAAAGGAATAAATGTGTCGACTGCGATCAGTTCCAAGATATTTTGATTCTCCGTCTGCTGATTAAGAAATGTAGGATATAGAAATATTTTCCATATTTTGCTAGAAAAGCTCTCCTAGATTTTAAGTTGTGTAAACATTCTATAACTTTAAATACGAACACATATATTAAATACATAGGATGTTACCTCGAAACGCACTTAAAGAGGCTACTGTAATACAGACAAAGGGCTTACCAAACTTTAATTTATGTGTGGAACGTATCTGAAATATAGCCGGAATTTAAGTGTTGAGGTCGATATTCTTTCGTACAACCATCAAGTCTAATATTTTGTCTATACCATTCAGTTCAATATGAGAAAAACAAGTCTAAAAACCATTAAATTCATTTGAATTTACAAATATCATGAGTAGCGAGGGTTACTAACCTGATGGTTAATTTTTGACATGATGTACATCATCTCACGACAACCGGTAATGCAAAGTCAGATAGATGAACCAGATTTTTAACCTAAACTTTAAAATAACATGGCAAGTGTTCTGAAATTCACTCGATAAGATAATAATTAGAATCTTAAATTAAAAAAATCGGCTATTAACTTCCACAATCTAATTGCTATATGAGAGCCTGTAGGTATTTTCTACTGTTTCTACTCATTTACGCCTAACTTGTGATTTTAATTAATTTCATTCACGCTGTCTGAAACTAAAATGACGGAACGTACGATATTTAAATCAATATTCACCAGGATAATAATGACTCGCCCAGACTGTCTGGGCAGCGAGGGTTGTAATCTTGGGAAACAATCTCTGCACGTTACAGCGCCGTTCGTGAAACTTCGTGGAGTTACATGGTGATTACATTAAAATTCGCTAATTCATTTTCTTGGTTTGGAATATCGGAATGTAACTTTCTGGGAACTACTGAGGGTGGCGAAGCAGGGAGGATAAAGCCTACAAAGACTTTTGACGTCTGGCCTGACGAATTGCTACTGTAAATAAACTGAATAAGAAACCTTCGTATTCCACGTATCTCCTGTTCACGTTAGTCCACTAATTTCTTGTTTCGGTAACTTACGCCTTAGAGTAATTTGTTTCTTGAGCTCCTGTCGGTCGCTCAGCTGATAAAGAAGTTACCTGTTGAGACTTCAGATTCTTACAAATAAGACGCGCACGCGAAATCGGTTTGAGATGTGGGAATCAGTCGGACAGTTGATGATGGAGGCAGCAAGTGCCTCTGAAACTTCTTTAAACTTCTATCAGATTACACGGCGCTACAAGCCAAGAGGAAGTCGTCTTCGAGAAATTGCGTCTTTTATGAAACTGAAGGTTCATTGCCGTGTTAACAACAGAAGGCCACTAGACTTTATCCCGATCCTGATGAATCTCGTACACATTCTCATAGTCCAGTCACTTAAAATTCATTTTATATTATCACTTCTACGCATTTCGTTACTTTATTACAAACACGCTCATATTTCTAGAGTTATTAAGAATATTTCTCAGTCCCATATTTATGAAGTTTTACTATATATTAAAGTCATTTAGGAGTCCTTAGATTTACCTGTTTTAACAACAGTTCACAACTGGCACTGCGGATATAACAAATATGAACCTGTTCAGTCCCCTGATACTTAATTTTAAATGTGTTACAGCGAAGAAAACTTTCTTTCAACAGTGTTTTCATCGATGTTAATAAAACCAGCAGGAGTGACTGGTAACAGTGAATGTATATAAACTGTGAAAAGTGTTTCGTTGTCGACATTTTAAGAGTTGTATATCGATTGTAAAGAAGGGAGGTCGATCTTTGTGTATTCCAGCAGCTGACACACAATTCCACAAACCTTTCAAACTCAAGACAGATAAAAAGGAACTGAATAGAAAACACATCACTTTGACGGAAACAAGCGAACATCAACAGCTTTGTTGACAGCAGTTACAGTGCTAGTCAGTAAGAGAGTGCTGTGTCTTCTTGCAGTAGGATTTTGGGTGATGATCTTGTGCCCAGCAAATACGTAGTAATTCAAAAACAGTGCCGTTTTAAGTGTCTTATTGTTTTTGGAATAATAAGTCTTGAAGTATCAGGCTCTTCACAGAATAGTGATTAAAATCAAGAAAAATATAATAACACTAATTCAATGCACCCTTTAATCATCCTGTCAATGTATGTTTATGGGTTTCATTCAGTAATGGGAAGTACCCAGTAGCTCGCTCTTCTCCTGTTTCAAGGAATATTCTCAAAGTTCACATTCAAATTCCAAAAATAATTATTGGAATAGCCATTCTAAACAATCCTTCCAGCATTCTACATCAAAAATGGATTCCTTCCGAATTGAAGTAACAAAACATATTACAATAGACAAGAAGCTGATAGAACCTAAATCTAATTCACATCTGTTACACTAAAGTGTCATTTTCATCTGCACTCAGATCTATCTTTTACGTGTTTTTTCTCTTAGGATTTCAAAATAACAATTTACAATTTATAGCCCGGTGATAACTAAAATGTACCACCTTCTTTAAGTATCAATATGTCTGTATTTTTCATTTACGTGTTTCGTATTACACTTAGAATAAACAGCGATCATTTCCTTAAACATAGTTTACCAGTTGACCTTTGTAATGGAGAAGTGTTGTGTTTTATTTGCGGTACGGATTCAAATATTAAACATTATTTAGACGAGATTCGGTCTCAGAGAGTTAAAGTTCTTATCTAATGAACATTCAAACAGAAAGCCGCCATTCCATGAAATAAGTGTAACATAACTAGAAATATGTACTATGAAGAATGCATAGTTCCTAAAGTGTTCTTTACGTCATATCCAGTTGGTGTAATATCAAACAATTCATATTGCCACTGATGCGTCTGACATCGAGCATTCGGAAGGTGAATCTCCAATTTAAAGTAACCTCCAATGGCACAATGCTATACTAAACAGAATGAAAATATGTTCTGAGAAAATTCTATTGCAGAAAGTATAAATCGTATGAACGCCAATAGATTCATCGACAGAACGCACCCATAAGTTGTTCTCCGCTTATGTCATTACCAGAACAGACTCAAAACAGACGCCAATTCGTGTCCCCTCCAGCAACTCTTCCATTGCTTGAGGAGCGTTGTGATTGCTGTGCATTGTCCAGTGAGATTTGAATAGCACGTTAAGAATGTGAGCGTCTTCTGCTGGCTGCGTGAATCATTGGCACGCAAGCAGACTGGTACTTGTGTACTAGAAATGACATTCATGTCATGTCAGTTACTAACCTACAATTTAAACAACAAAGTCGTGTTTCTAACAAGTGTTTCCTACCACATTGTCTGAGTATGCATAAGCCGAGGACGAGAGAAAGTAACAGGTGCCCGGGGTTATTTTTATCATGTAAAACTTCATAATTCGAACTCTTTATCAAATATTTTATTTTCATTCGATCAATGAGGATGAGATAGGTGGAGATTGTAGCACGAATGCGTAATATAAGTAATTAATACATGATAATTGACAAATATGAAGGAAGAAACCACATGGTAGATCTAAATATAGATGTTTAAATTCCTGTATAATATTAAAATGAATCTTAAAAGTATGAGATCTCATTGTGGATTGGATTCAGCTGGCCAAGAATAGAGAGAAGTTAAGGTGGTAATCAACCTTCGGATTCCACAAAATACGATAAATTTTCACACTAGTTGAGCTTTGAATTAATTGTCCGCGGATTGGATTGGATAACAGATGTAGCATCTACTAGGAGGTGTCAGTTTCAAGGCAATTCTTAGAGTCTAGAAATTTATTTCATGGTGTTCTAATTATTGCGAATAGTGTGTCATTATGGAGATGTTCTGAAGATGGAGGCAGTAAGTATGACCGAAACGTCGATAAATTTCTACCAGATTTCACGGCTTAAGATTCCATAAGACAGCCACCTCCGTACTTGACCCGTGAGAACCTGAAATCTCACCTAGTATATTACTGGGTTAGAGACAACAAGGAACACCCTGTGAGGGCTGGTGGTTACAAAGAAGACCTCACGCTTCTCTGACGCAGACACTAACCGACGATAAACAGTGGAGGCCGAT